CAATACAAATACACAATTACCGCAATCTGATTCACTCTGACTTCAGGAATGTCAAGCGTCATGTCAAGCGCTTCCCTCTCAAAGTGTGTCCCTTTGCAGCCCAGGATTGCAGCTTGACAAGAAAGTAAGTGTCTGGAGGCTTGGGGTACCGCCATGTAAGGAAGAAAAGAACCCAAGGCCTCTTATCCCCTGCAAAGGCTCTTACAGGGTTATTGCAAGGGTTCCTACCCTGGTGAAGGGGGGAGGAGGTTCCTCGTGTCTCTCCTGACAACAGCTGATTACCTCGTGAATATTGCAAAGCCACGGCTCCCATGATACAAAATGATTGGGGGCCGCTCCGGCTTCCTGGCAAATACCTACAATCCGCCAGCTCACGCAGCTTGCGCCCTCAAACGGCCTCAACAGCCCTCAGCTGCTTTGTTCGGAGGGTGTTCCAAAACATGCGACAACTTAGCTGAACCTAGCCACTGCTCTGGTCAAGCAGCCAGGCCGGCTCAGGCTGGAAAGAAGACTGGAAGAAATTTGTCGAGGACGACTCCCTCTAGCGGGAGTTTCAGGGTGACCCTGTCACAGCTGTCATGGTCAGAAATTGGAACAGCTCTCTTGGTCGAAGAAGCCGCTGGGCTCGCCAGCAAAATGTCGCTTACAATTGTCAACCACAACCTCTCGGGTGCGGAGCACTGCATTGGTTGACCAACAGGGCGGGGAGCAGATTCCAGCCATACAGGGCCTCCACTAACCACACATTTCCAAAGAGGTGCGGCAGGGCCCTGGCTACAGGACGCCTCCTGAGCCTCCAACCTTTCCGAATATCCCGAATAGGGAGCTTTCGCAATCTGCCAATGAGCCCAGGAGAGCGCCCTCTTCATCCACTTTGTGTGTTTTTGTGTTTTTTGTGTTTGGGGGGAGGGGGGGGTTCCTTGCCCCTACAGCCACCTTTGCTCCGAGGCACCAGGCCCCCTTGGCCGTCTCAGAGCGGCGCTTCTGCTTCCCCACCTTCGCCACCGCGAAAAAGCTCTCGGCCGTCAGATCAGAGGCCGCCTCCGGCGGCCCAAGGGGAGGTTGGCAGTGGGTTTAAGGAAGCGACCACATCCAGTGGCATGGATGACATGGATTAGGTTGGCTCGGGGGGAAGGATGGGTTGATCCTCAAAAATGGGACATCTTCTTCAAGAATCGGCGGGTTTTCCCTTAGAAGCAACCCCAAACCGGACCTTCTTCTTCAAAGGACGGCGCGCCCAAAATCGTGCCTGTTGATGGCTCTCTCTGTTCAGTGGGCTTCCAGCACCACGGCTTTGAGTTGAAATACGAAAGCTGGGGTTCTGGTGGAGCTCTCCCACTAGATTCACTTCATGCTCTCGATTCAGCGAAACCAAGAGTGTTGTTAAATCTACCCCTCCACTGAGATTTGGGTCAGTGTCCGACCCTCGCGGGAGACACTGAGGGTTATGCTGGCCGGCGAGTAGCAACAGAGTAATGACTTTTTGACCGGAGAAGAACAAAAGTAGAGAAGCTGAGAAGCAAAACATAAAGTCATTCGTTCAGTGGGAACTGCATATGGCTTTCCATCCAAGCCGGACCAGCAACACATATTACTCACTAAAGTAGGGGCCGGGGGGCGATTGTCATCCCCAGAAACTGTAGGTTCCTTCACTCCACCCTCTCCAGCCCCCGTGACTAGAAAACAGCATGCAAGCTTGCCGGAACCCGAACCCACAACATCTGTGCACCCAATCTGCTGAGTGCCGTGGCATGCCGCCAAACCTACGCATGAGGCTTCCGGAGAGCCCTGCACCACGCAATTCCGGGGCGCATGGCTCGAAGGGCCCACGCTTGCGGGCCTGCAGGTGCAGGTACAGCTTTCCTCTGGGCTGGCGGGACTCCCAGCAACAGCTCGGCTGGGCGGCTGGACAAGTCCACTCCTGGAGCCCCAGGATCGGAAGAAGCTGCGAGGCAACCCTTCAAGCAAAGCCAAGCCCTTCCGAGGCAAGCCCGAGCTCAAAAATCAACCGCATGGTCAAGGAATGCCTCTCGTCTGCAACCAGGAGCCTTCGCATCTGAATTCCCTTGGTGGCTGAAGTTCTTCTAAAGGGAGGCCAGGATGTGTCTCAACCTTGGGACAAGTCCCACGAGGGGGACTTCCCTTTGACACGCGTGGCTCTCCCGTCTCCTCTCCGCACAGCTTCAGCTGCACCTCCGCAGCAAGCTACTAAGTTGGGAAGAAAACACAGCGAGTCCCACCTAGCTTTCACAACGCGCTACGGTTTGGATACATTTTGAGCTCTGAGGGTAGCTGCACAGATGGCTGATCCCCAAATTGGTGCTACTGAAGCTGTGGGCAGTGCCTGTGGCCAGCCGAGCAAGCGGCCGCTGGCGGGAGCTTTGGAAACCTTAGACTTGACGCAGCTGGAATGGCGGACTGATCTTCTACCTTGACCCAGGCACTTGAACCCCACAGGAGGCTGAAACATTTAGCCTTTGGTTGTACAGAAGCAAGGGCTTTGCAAACCCCCGCGTCAAAAGATGCTGTAGGACCTACTTGTCTGCATGAACCCAGAGGTGCCACGCACACGTGGAACCAAAAGGCACGGGCCAAGCTTGCCACTTGGTCTCTAGAAAACCTTGAATTGAAGCAGGTGGCCCTGCGGCTGTGCAAAGCAGCCAGAACGGCAAGCCAAAAAAAGGCCGCCCGCTTGAGCGGTGGACTCTGCCCTGTGAATCTTATGTCACCTGGCGGACAACGACCAAAACTAGACGTGCATGTCGGCGCATTGCGCCACGCCGGGGTCATCGACGATCTCCTCCACGGAGGCGCCGCACAGGCCAACCATGCCGTTGCCGATGGCGTAGTCCCGCGCCTTGCACGAGATCTCCCGCGCGTTGAAGTCGGTGGCCTGGAAGGGGGCGATGTTCTCGGTGCGGTCCCCGAAGAAGTGCACCTTCTGCGGGGGGATGGCAATGCCCTGCTGGCCGTACCACGCGACAATGCCACCCACCGCCTTGCAAGGCGAGCAAAATGAAAGAGCCCCTGAGAAGCAACATATAAAATAAATGACATTCTCACGCAGTGCTATTGGACTGACAAGTGGCATCCTGCTTCCGCCGATTGGCCCACCCGAGCACCAAGGGCGAGTCCACACGGCCCAAGCTCCAAGATGACCTTAACAACACCACGTGGCCCCTATCCCGCGTGCACAATCCCTGCTATAAAAGAGGGAAAAAGAACCTCCTCACAAACAACACTTGGCCAAAGAGACTTGTGCAGTGCCGCCTCTCCTTTCGACAATGGCTGCAAGTTGCCAGCATCCTTTTTGGGGCACCTCGAGCTTTGACAGGACTAGCTTCGCCGGGGCGCTTGCTGCCCAGCCGGTCGAAGGGGCTGCTTCGGAGCACCTTCTGCAGCAGGAAGGCGCGGAGAGGCGAGTGGTCACCGCCCGCATCGCCGGCGGAGACCACTCCCAGCAGGCAGGAGCTGCAGAAGGTCCTGCCAGGCTGTCTCAGGGATATCCCTGTCATGGCAGATGATGGAGAGTCTGAGACCAGTGGAAACTACAGTAAGGCAGGCACTTGGGTCGGAGCGGAAGCCTCAAAGCCAAGAGGGCCTCAGGGTGGAGAGAATAAGTCAGGGAGAGGATAGACAACAAAAAGCTGAGCCAAGATTGGGTGGAGATAATGGCGGGCAGAAAGCGAGGAATGTCACGTTTGGTACCGCTGGGCGCTTCGATTTAGGACCCATAAGCACAAACCTAAACCCTAAAGCCCTCGCCCGCTACCCTGCCACGCAGAGTCACAAGGCTTCAGATAGCTAAAGCTGGCTTTCCCGAAAAGCGCTGCCGGCTGTCCTGTTCAACCCCTGGCCCGCGGAGGACACTGTCAGCCAGCCACCTCCGTAGGCCGTGTCCCAGATCTGCGTCACTTGGTTCTGGGGGCACTGGGACCCGGCACCAGCCAGCTGCTGCTTCCCCGTGAGGGTCCGGTCCACGTCGAAGACGCAAAGGCACACCTGAAGAAGCTAGAAGTTGAGGGGCCTTGAAGAAGGGAAAGTGAGCCCTGGAGAGATTGCGGAGATTTTGGTTCCATTGAGCCGATGGGCTCACACATGATCTAGCAAGAAGTGCTAGATCTCCTGAAAACAATCGCCCGCCAATAGTCTGGGCTCAGCCTCTGCGACCAAAAAACGACATGCACGACCAGAACAAGAAGCCTGAGTCTCTGCAACTGCCGGCAAGCTAGGGGGGGCATGTTCCCAAGTTGCGAACTACCGACTTCGCTCCACGCGCCGACCTCTGGGGCCGGCACCGGTGGCGCCGGCGCTGGTGATGGCGCTGCCGGCGGCGTTGGCGTTGGCGTCGCTGGAGCGTCTCTGCAAAGATGGACCCCTGGCACATCCACGATCTCTTCCTTGGGCTGTCCATGCAACTCAAAGCCACGCGCTGGGACCACTGCGTTTCAGGTCAAAACAACAGCGAGCAACTGACTGCCATGCTGAGTCAGGCGGCAATGGTTGCACCACACAGGCCAATCATCCCGTTTTGGGCAGACATGTCGCGGGAGGCGCAGGAAACCTCTTTCGCATTGAGGCCTGTACCTTCGAAGGCCGCAATGTTCTCTGTGCGGTCACCGAAAAAGTTGACCTTCGAGGTGGTGATGCCTTGCGATGCATACCAAGCAATTATGTCTGCCAGTGCCACTTGCTTCTGCCGGTCCGGCCAGCCAAGCACCAAAGGTGACAAGACCTTGCCATTTTCTGACCACTGCGCTGCTTGGGCTGCCAATCTGCTCAAGCGGCGGAACGGTTTGCTCAAAAGGATGTGCTCCAGAAAATAAGACCGCTCTGCTGAGTTGGGGCCACTGGCGGTACCTGCCGAGATGACTCCCAAGTAGCATTCGTTGCAAAAGGTCTGTTGCAAGCCCTGCCCGGCAGCGGACAAGGCCAGCCAGCCACCAGCATAGGCAGCATCCCACACGCCCGGCACTTCTTGATTTGCAGGGCAAATGCTGCCAGCTGTGCCCTGCTTGCCCGTCAACGTCCGGTCTATGTCAAAAACGCAAAGGCAGGCGTCAGTCTCCGCAGGTGGTGGGACTGGGGCTGGAGCTGGTGCTGGGGCCCCTGTGTCGCAGCTAGGGTCGTAGCAATAGTCCTCTTGAGGGTGCGACCATCCATGGCAGCCCGGGACCGGCTCCCCAAAAGACCGCTGCTTGCACTTGAGCCCAGGGGCACAGTCACTGTGCGCGTCGCAGTCGCCCTGGCATTGCGTCATGCCAGGCACCCCATTTGGCCCTAGGCCCACGAAGCTCTGCGGCGTGCAGGCAGATTGGGCCGACCGCAAGGAACTTGGGCTCCCAAGCGCCGGCAAAAGCAGGCAGCAGAAAACCTTCACGGCGGGATACGGCATTGCACAATGAGCGCTGTTGCCTTCCCAAATGGCTGCAAAAATGCACAAGGCACCTTGGCATGAGGTTGCCAACTGAGTCGGAAGCGCTTAAGGTCTGCCGCACATGGCTTCTAGCAACTCACTGGAAATGAGAGGGGCCACCAGAACCTCATGGAACAGGATCAACATTTGGGGAATGTCCGAAGCCTCAGATTGACAGCTACGACAAAAGTTGTCTCATGTTGTCTCTTTACTCCCAGCGGCAGTGACCCTCAGGACGCCCAACGGCTTGGCGTCCCGGAGGGTGGCAGTATCCACCAGGTCCTCGTCCTCTATCAAAGGCACGTGGATGACCTCTGGGACTCGTTCCGATGGCACGGGCTCACTCTTGGGATCATGCTTGCAGGGCGGATCAGTGTCTCATCTCTGAACTCCCAAGCACGCGCGTGCGCTGCATGCACTTGGCTAGCACTTCCCAACTTGACACTGTGCCGGCTTCCGAGCTGCATTGGGAAGCAAAAGCATGCTGCTGACCGCGTAGTTCAAGATGCTGTGCAGGAGCTGCTTCAAGCTGCTCCAGTCAGACACCTGGATCAGGCGGTAGCTTTTAGTTATTTTAGTATTGGCGTTCGATGTTCCCAAACTTCAACAAGAATGCAAGGCGGCCCCGCCATTGCAACGAATCATAGAAATCATCCAATCTTGCTTCTCACGCGTCTGCCATCACCGCTCCGCGCCAGGAACAGCAAAAACGAGCAAAAACGGCGCATGGCACGCGCAGGACCCGCCGAACTAGAGCTAATGCCTGGGCAGGGCCGCAGCTCATCCGAAAGTCGACCTCCGGCGGGTCGACAAAGTAGGCCACGAGGCCTGAGATCCCCAAATTCACGGGGCTCGGGCTCGCGGGCCGGTCATGGAAACCCAAGTTGAGCCCATGAGACTAAGTGGCCATGGGTCAAAATCCATTTTCCCCCAGTGAACATCCCAATCCCCACTGAAATGGACTAAAATGGGTGGTGCACCTACCCCAAAATGGTACCATTGGTTTTGACCCACAGCCAAGTGACTAAGTCTCTCTTTCTCGGCAAACTAACGCAGATCGCATACTGATATCACATAGTAGCGTCACCAGTGGATGCGGGGGAACAGCCGTCTTTCCCACAAGTTTCCGGTGCAGAGAAAACGCCTCAAGCCATGCAGGGCCTGCCTCCAACCACAGGAATCTCATTCACCAGCGGCTCCAGGCGAACCACCAAGCCTGAGTGACAGGAGTTCAAATGCCCCACCTGACGTCACCAAGGCTCGGGCTGCCTTTCATCGACAGATAGCTGAGACCTGCTTTGATGCCCAGCACCGATGCTACAATGTCCACATCAGACCTCGGGGCACCAGGACCAGGGCCGCACTGCCTCCAAAGTTTTGGAGAAAAAGCAAGAGACAAATCAATGCACTGCAAGCATTGCCCAGCCCCTTCTAGCTTCCCAGCTTCCAAAAAGGAGCGCAACATCAACCTGCAGTGCTGTTCTATCTGAGGGCACCCAGACTTCACAGCCGGGCCACTCAAGCTCGAAGGCCACTCGCACTTCCACTCCTTGCCGCTGGCCATCGTCGCGGCAGGGGGCATCGCCCACATTGATCCCAAGAATGGTCGGCACGCCCGGGCCGAACGTGAAGCGACGAAAGCGGAAGCCCCTCCTCAGCCCGCGACTTCTAGAAGCGGTTTAAGGGCGCATGGCCTTGAACGCTTTCAAACAACTGCCATCCCACCACCACCCACTGCTTTCATCAACATAAGCTGGGGCCTGCATACAGCGTCAGCACTTCCAAGGAGACTTGAACTGCTTCAGCTGGGTACTGTCCCGCTTGCTGGCAGGCATCAAAGGTGCCGGGAGGGACTCGCGGATCAAAGGCTGCACTTGTTGCAGCATAAACCTGTCCGGACATGGCTGGAAACAAAAATCAAACCGTGCAAGGGCGAGTCGGGCAAACATGGAACAGCTGATCATCTCAAGCATCAAGGAAAAACACGGCGGGAACGACAAAGACAACGGCACCCTTCTTATGGCAACCCAGCTGGCCTTTCGACCGCTGCATTGACCCTGGGCCACAGCAAGTGCAGCGTCTCCCGCAAGCACTTCAGGCTCTCGCTTTGCTGGTTCAGCGATGTCGCCTGTTGCAAAGCGAATCGGTTGGAAGCTACCCAAATGGCTCAGAGGTTCTACCAACAGCACCAAAACCTCATAATGGAATGGAAAGATGCAAGGCAGAAAGCAAAGCGCGCTGCCGGCTAAACACGTGCAACCACTGAAAACCTGCACCATGCGTTGCTCCTTCTTGCTGTCCTGACCTCCAAGTGTCCCAAGATCGACCCGCCGGCGTGCGGCCTTTCAAACGTGCATAGGCTTCTCAGAAGAGTCCAAGACCAAGGCAGTTGTTGCACCCTCCGGGACTGCCCTTTGCTCGAATGGTCAGCTTGCATGCCTTGCGCACGAGGAGGCTGCTGCGTCTCGCATATGCAGGCTTGTCGTCGGCGATTTCTGTCAAGCTCCTACGAGTCCCAACGCCCGCCACAAATTCCAGAGTCAAAGTCTTGCTTGGCGTGGCCCGGCGGCCCTAGCGTTCGCCTATGCGGCAGCTGACTCTTGGCAAGATCATGCGTAACACAGCTCCTCAGCAACTGGCCCAGCGCCTCATCCGGCTTGCCTGGGCACAAAGGATAGGTGCCTGGCAAGGTCTTGCAATCCAGGCCCTGGATGCCAAACCTTTTTGCGATACTGCTATTCACATGGTTGATTGTGTTGATTGCTACCCATCCTGCCATTTGGCGTCTGAACATGGGATACACACATAGAGGCATCGCGGGCATGTTGATACGCCCAATCAATTGCGGCTGGGCGTAGGGACCAAGCTCGGCACAAACCTCGTTATCCGGGTCGGGGGGGTTCCAGGATGTCACTACGGCGCTGCAGCTGTGTCGCTCAAGCCTGGCTTCAACGTGGATGGTCATTCCGCGGAAACCATGTCTTCGCTTGCTTGATGCTGCCCTGCATGCACATATATATATATACATACATATAGATGGGTAGATAGATGATGGGTAGATAGATAGATGGGTAGATAGATAGATAGATAGATAAGATAAGATAAAATAAGATAAGATAAGATAAGATTATATTCTATTAGATATTAGATTAGATTAGATTTGATTTAGATTAGATAGAGTAGATGGATTAGATAGATTATACAGATGGATAGATGGATAGATAGATAGATAGATAGATCGATAGATAGATAGATAGCTAGCTAGATAGATAGATACACAGATAAGATAAGATAAGATAGATCGATAAACAGAAAGATAGATAGATAAACAGATAGATAGATAGATAGATAGATAGATAGATAGATAGATAGATACATAGATAGATAGATAGATAGATAGATTAGATAGATTAGATAGATAGATAAATTCATAGATAGATAGATAGGTCGATAGATAGATAAATAGATTAGATAGATTAGATAGAATAGATTAGATAGATTAGATTAGATTAGATTAGATATATTAGATTAGATTAGATTAGATTAGATTAGATTAGATTAGATAGATAGATATATAGATAGATAGATATAAAGATATATAGATAGATAGATAGATAGATAGATAGATAGATAGATAGATCGATAGATAGATAGATAGATAGATAGATAGATAGATAGATAGATAGATAGATTAGATTAGATAAATAGATAGATAGATAAATAGATAAATAGATAAATAGATAAATAGATAGGTAGGTAGGTAGGTAGGTAGATTCTCCCTCTGTGCACTTTGTAGACCAGTGTGGCCAATTCCAAATTCACAAGATGTTTCTTTTTCTTTTACGGGGCTTCTACCACAATGGAAATGGCTGTGTTCGCCGATCTTGGTTCAATTGCAGGGCTTAATCAAAGATTCTGCGAGATGGTTTGGCCCTTGCTCGCATATGCAATGTGCTAACACCGGCTGTAGCTAAGATATTGCATGCTCATGACCCGCGATGGTAGAAAGTCCATTACAGGTGCCCGTGTTTGTCATGCCTACACATGTGCTTCAACTCGAAATGGAAAGTCATCTACCTGACAGCCTGAACCCCAACCGTCCAAAACAAGCAAACCACAATGGACACTGAAGTTCACAGAAAAACAATGATCAAACATCGGCATGAGTGCGAGCCCAGGAAGTTTGCTTTTACGACTTGTGTGACAACCCGTCCTATATGGTGTGCTCAAGGTTTGTGTTTGCCGGGCACGACTTTAAGGTGCCCGCAGCTGCCAGCCCAGCCAAGGTGCCCGAATCCACTTCCACCTTCTTGGTGGGTTTGAAGTTGCTCCACTCCAGAGAGATGGTTGCAGACGGCATGAAGGTTTTTGGCGAATCTGAGCCTCAGTGAGCCCAAACGTGTAGCAAACAAAAGCGCTCAGAACTTCCTGTCGCTTGATTTGATCATTCGATCCACATGCCGAGTCTCCGTCGCACGGTTGCAAGCGGGGTGTCGGCTGATTGCAGGACTCTGTGCACCACACCAACCCTGGCTGTGTGCTTTTAGAGATGATGCTCAAATTGGCATACTAAACGAAAAGGGCCACCTCCATCCATAGGGTGTCACCCTCAGAGTGCCGCTGAACAGCCGAGGCGCTCATCTCAGGCTCCGGGTGCGGCTCCAGCGAGTCAACTTGCGGCAGCTCCGACCTGTCACAAGCTGCAGCTTGTGCTACAAGCTGCCTGTGTTGCAGTGGGGATGAACCCAAAAAAAACGAGAGACTTGCTTCTCGGCTTGGAGTGCATACAAAGCCAAACGCGGGAACAACATGACCACTCCGGCAAGGGCGGCCAATGATACTCGATGGCTTGAAACGGGATATGCCAAGTAGGATCACTAGAAGTTGGTGGCTTGCGACAAATTGGAGGTTCGTTGATTAGTCAGTGTGAAGCAAATGGGCAACCTGCAGACTGAGGTGTTTCACGCCGGCACACTCAAGACTCCACAACACTGAGCGCAACCGGGTTTGCAAAGTGGGACCTTTCATAGCCCACTTCGCGTCTGTACATCTAAGAAAGCCATCGACCTGCCTTGAAGCAAGGCAGCGCTCAAGGATCCAACGGCTCTTTCTCTTGCAAGGGGTGGGTATGGTTCAAAACTAAAGAGCTGGGGATACGTGGGTAGTCCTTGGTTCCATTTACCAGGGTGCCATTTTGGTACCACTTGTTTGAGCCACGGGTGAGGTGGGCTCGCCGAGTTCCGCCCTTTTCAGCCAGGCCGCGATGGCCCTTCCGGCTCCTCGGGCGTCTCCAGCATCTCGGTGGCATCCTTGAAAACTCTGGCCACAGGGTTGAGGTGCTCAGCTTCCCGGTGGCTCACTTGGCTGTGGGTCAAAATCAATGGTACCATTTTGGGGTAGGTGCTCCCAATACTGCTTGCGGGGGACCCTGAAAGGCCGGAGCACAGAATCTCATGAATGCAGCGTGGCAGCAGTCGCCTGGAAAAACTTACGAAAGCATAAGAACGCCGGATCAACTAATCAAAACCTGTTGACATATGACTGCCTCCTATCTGAAAAGCAAACCAAAGAAAAGCCATCTTCCCGCAGCTGCCTTGCTGCGTTCATGGCCAGGCGGTAGCTTACCCTTTCCCGTGCCCACTCCTGTGCAGTGGCAGTACAGCAACAGCTCCTTGGCACTTCTGCGAATCTGTGGGGGGTGGGTTGGGGTTGGGGTTGGGGTTGGGGTTGGGGTTGGGGTTGGGGTTGGGGTTGGGGTTGGGGTTGGGGTTGGGGTTGGGGTTGGGGTTGGGGTTGGGGTTGGGGTTGGGGTTGGGGTTGGGGTTGGGGTTGGGGTTGGGGTTGGGTGGGTTGGGGTTGATCGCAAAAATACAACATACGCCGCTCTCATACAGCAGGGCTGCGTCATATTCCATGCTGAGCCTTGCTGCATGGCGCGTGGAGCAGGTCGGAGGCATGATGGCGTGGACTTTTGAGCCAGCATGCGGGTCCATTGCGAGCGTTCAGCAGCCACAAACTCAACTTTGCCCATTCAGAGGCCGGACGAAAACGGCTGATGCCTGCATGCCCCCTCATCTTACTGCACTTGTGCCCACGCCAGCCGCTAGCCACGAGCATTGGGCCCCGGGCAGGCAAGTGCTTCTTTTGGGACTCCGACCACCACTGCAGCTTTGCCGTTAGCTGACACCAGGCCGGTCGGTCACCTGCGAAGAGCTGTTTTTTGGCGATTTTGGGTCAGGAATATGATTCCTTCCAAGCGCTGATGCTGACCTGGGGCCTGCAAACTGCAGGCGCCTCCGACTGAGGTAGTCCCAGAAGCAATGCCTGGGCCAGCAGCCGCGCAGCAGATGGCTGTGGACCAAAATGCTGCAAAGGCTATGGTTTCCTAGACTATGGCCCACCTCGAAACAACGAAACGCCGCCATGCCTGACTTATGTTCTTTTGCAGCTTTGCCTCAGGCGAAGGCACACAATGCAGGGAAGCAGCAGCTCAAAATCAGAGCAGCCGCTGCCGCAGCGAGCCCAGGCTTTAAGACTCGTGCTCCCACTGCTCTTAGAATTCTTGTCCTCCGGCATCACCTGCCACGCTGAGATCTGCCAGATGCCAAAAACACCCTGGCGAAAAGTCCCGACGGAACTTGGCATGCTTGGCTGCGTGAGCTTGTTGCTTGTTGCGTTAGCTGTGTCTGCATGCATTGACGCCCACTGCTCTGGCCCGAGGCAAGCCCACGGTGCTCCAGAGATCCGGTTGCCCGGTTAGTCTTAAGACAGATCCATCCCCTGCAAGGCAGGGGATGGAGCGCCTCATTGGATGCCGACGTATGTGTGTGTGTGTACTGCATCGGTACGCGGAAGACAAGCTGAGCATTGCATGCGACACAGTGGTGTTTGTTTGATTTGTATCTGATTGTTTTGTGCTTGCAGGGAATAAGAGGCAACATCTCTTCTTCTTTTTTAGGGCAGCTTGTTGCTCACACAGGCATGGGGCTCCGCGCTAGCTTCAGCCTCTGTTGATATAAATCATTTGGTTTGAAGCAACGACAAAGTTTCGCGCGGGGCTTCCTACAAAGACAAACCTATCCCTGTCAGGGCAGAGGAGGTGCTGTGAACAAATGTGGCGCCAAACTTTGCTGGGCATTCACAGGCTCCAGAATGCTAAGCTGGACCGGTCAGAATCAGCTCGTCCGCCACCAACTGCACCCGGCGGGGGGGGGGGGGGGGCCTGTGAGCAACGCAAACCCAGGCGATAGAGCCGACTCTCGCTACTCTGGAAGCAGCTCGGAAAGGGCGAAGAAAACGCAAAGCCAAACCCTGCCTCCTGCGAGGTCTGGCCCAAGGGCCGTCAGAGGGGAGCTGTGACTGAGCCATGCTGTGACTGAGCCGAACGGCGCAGCGGTGACCCCGTTGCCAGCTCTCTGAGCACTCGGTGTATCATCTACGCTTGATAGTGGCATGCAACATGCAGCAAACGTTCGCCCCACCTCGCCTCGCTTTTTGCCCTGCCCGGCAAAACTGCCAGCATGGTGGCAAGTAAGCATTTCGCCAAGTAGAACGCGCCCATCGTGCTCCGACGACGGGTCAGCGCCGAGCACAGCCTTTGCTGTGCATCTTTTGCATCAAGCCGGCTCATCACCAACTCAGCACCTTGACTCAGCTTGACTGGCTACTTCTCCCTTGCGACTCAGCCTGGAAACCCAGGTCAGGATGAGACGCGCGCGGATGACGCGCGCGTCATGCACCCAGGCGGCTGATCCAGCGAATGGCCCCGTCGCCCTGGCTCACTGCTTCCCCCGACGCCTGGTGGCAGGACTCTGCTTGCGATGTGACCCGGTCAAGCCCCAAGACCTTCATTTTCCTCGCCCTGATTCACCTCCGCAATTATCCTGGTGTGAAAGACCTCTCGCCACAACCAAACCCCAACAGCCAAAAACCAAGTTCTTCAATTCGCAATGCTGTGGGCCGTACGTTTGCCCGTTCCACCCCTGGCCAAAACAAACACGTCAGCAAAAAAAATGGCGTTGTGCACGGGTTGCTCAAACACTCGACGCATGACACGACGAGAGGTAGCCTCAGAGGCCCCCAACCAAAACCGCGAAGAAACCCCCAGGCCCAGAGGACGGGCGACGGAGAGGATTGTGGGGAGTCCACACCCAAAAGGCCGCCTCAAACAGGGATCCTCACACTATACACCTGAACATTGCCTGGTAAATAGTGGTTGCCCTGCATTTTGGTGGAGAAAGCCATGTTTCAACTGGGCAAAATGTATCTTTTCAGGAGCCCTGCAAAAGCTCTTCGATTTTGTGGTAGGCTTTTGTGAAGCAGGGCGCAAGGCGGGTCAAGCAATGCAATGGCATAACCGCGGGCCCATGGGTCAAGTGCATGCGACGGCCTGCTTCAACTTCTCCCGCACCAGCACGTCAGGGCCTGCGGCTGGCAACGACACTGGCAACTCATAAGCGGAGGCCGCGGAGGCCGCTCCGTCAGCGCCCCACCTATTGCAATGATCGCTGCAAGCCCCGGGAAATGCCTCATGCTGGATATTACTCAAGGATACAGGAATAAATATAATTAGGTAGGTAGGTAGGTAGCTAGGTAGGTAGGTAGGTAGATGGATAGATTAGATAGATATATAGATAGATAGATATGCAGCTTCACTACGAGTAAGGAAGATGTTTTCTTCTGTTGGTTGGCCTCAGCTTGTGGACCAAGTGCCTGGCGAATGCCTGCCTGCCGCGCTCTCCTTCAGCAAAACGAACAGGGAGCCGTCGCCACCGCGCGTGATGCGCAGGCCGTTGTCCAAGAAGGTGATGTCCTCAGATGCCGAGTTCGCCTTACAGAACTGTCAAGCGGCAAAGCGTTCAATCAGTGCAGGTGAGCTTTGTGTCGGAGTTGCGGGTTACATTGAAGGCAAACCTGGCAAACGACCCATAAGTCTCGAACAATCAAAGGTGTCATTGACTTTCAAGTTGCCAGCAACACTTTGCGACTGAGCGTGAATGCTTCCCACGCAAAGGACTGCCCAGCGAAGGGAGCACCTGGAGTACCTGGAGTGACACCTGCTAGCGGTTCGCAGCCAGCATCACGCGCAGGCGGATTTGACTCAGCGCCTGCTTTTTTCCCTCAACTGGCGGCACAGTCGCGTAACAAATGGACCACTCCTGCCATATTTCGCAGGCCTGGATGGGCCGGCCATGCCAAGCACATCCAAGCACGTTGCCCGGATATATGGGGCAGAGCGCCTGCCCTTACTTGAAAAAAAATGTTAGGGCCCGAAGCAGTCAGACCTGGCTCCAACCAAGCTCAGGCCAAGACGCACCCAGGCGAATAGCCTCAATCAAACGACCAGTTCCTGAAGCGATCCTCGCACTTGGACCTTGAACTTCTGCTCATCTTCGACCTTGGAGTGCCCCTCACATGCACGCACGCTCGCTCGCTCGCGCGCACAGAAAAACAAACAGACGGACTGACAGACAGACAGACAGACAAACAGACAGACCAACAGGCTGGCAGGCAGGCAGCCAGGCAGGCAGACAGACAGACCAACAGGCTGGCAGGCTGGCAGGCAGGCAGACAGACAGGCTGGCAGGCTGGCAGGCAGACAGACAAACAGGCTGGCAGGCAGGCAGGCAGGCAGACAGACAGACTGGCAGGCAGACACAGACAGGCAAACAGGCTGGCAGGCAGGCAGGCAGGCAGGCAAACAAACAGGCTGGCAGGCAGGCAGGCAGGCAGACAGACAGACAAACAAGCACGCAAAAACCAACTGAGTAACATGCAGGGACCAAGTGAACATAGCAAGTAACAATGCATTGGAGTGTCACTTGCATTCCAACTGGAAAAGGAACTGTGCCTCATAAGCTTTGGAAATCAGATCATGGCATAGCCTAGCCACAAGGACAAGCTCGAAACCCGTTTGAGTCACCCTGCCAAGATATTGCATGCCAGCTAGAAAAGTTCACAGCACCAGGGCACCCATCTGGGTGCCCTGAGCATAAAAACCTTCCGTGGAGCCCGGGTGCGGGCACGGTTTATAGCTATGCAAAGTCGATCTTGCTTTGGAATCTGGAGGCTTCAGCGGGAGCGGATCCCTGGATTGCTGGGCAGACCCATGAACTCTGCGCATTAAGACGTTCACATACCTGTATATACCTGTGCGCGCGCTATGGCCAAGACCAAGACGTGCATGTGATGAAGCAAGGCACGTGACCGGGCGAGAAGGTGATCTCATGAATTCCAGGGTAAAGCTTCTGCTCGCCTTCGTTGTTCGTGACCTCCAGCTGGGAGCTGGACAGCTTGAAGGTCAGATTCACATACTCGCCAGCCGGAACTGCCACACGCTGGAAGTCCCGCAGGGCTCTCTGGGGCAGGGGGTGATCAACTTTGCCAATGTCTACGGCCGCATGGTACACTTGGATGACCTCCTCACCATGCAACTTCCCGGTGTTGCGAATCCGACAGCGGAACGTCATGCCCTCCACCGAAGCACACTTCAGATCGAAGCTTGTCAGTGAAAGGCCATAGCCAAAGGAGAACAAAGGCTTGCCCTGATAGTACCGATAGGTACGGCCGGGTGCCTTTGACATATCATAATTTGTCATGGTCTGCTCTGAGATGTAGCCGTGTGGGTACATTGTGATGGGCAGCTTCCCCCAGCGGTTCTCCTTTCCAAACAGGCTCATTCCCAGTGCCTGCGCACCCTTGTGGCTGGGAAAGAAGGCTTGGATGAGGGCAAAGCCTGCGCCATCACTCATCAACTCATCAATGGCCATAGGCCCGCCGCTCACAAGGACAAGAACCGTGGGCTTGCCAAGCGCTAGGACCTGCTGGGCGAACTTGGACTGCAAGCCGGGCAAGGCTGTGTCACTGCGGTCCTTCCCTTCGGTTTCAATGGACTTGTCGTCGCCCAGAGCCAGCACCACCACATCTGACTGACGGACAGCGTCCAGCGCAGCGGGGATGCCGTCGGCCTTCGTGCTATTGATCTCGACGCCCATGGCCGCGACAACCTTGCCAGAGGCGGCAGCAATGCCCTCGGCAATCGTTGGCACGCAGGCATCGCTCTGGTCGAAGCAGTGGCTGCCAGCAGCATAGTCAGAGAACAGTCCGCTGCGAGAGATGGCATGGGGGCCAACCACCGCCACAGCTGCACCTTCCTTGATCGGAAGCACCCCATCATTCTTGAGCAACACAAAGCTCTGCAAGGCTGCTTCGTAGGAGATCCTCTGATGGAACGAGTGGTTCAAGTCCTGCAAGCCATACCTGAACGTTTTTGCTCGCAGGCTCCCTTCAAACCATGAGAGGTGCATGTCATTTGCCTTACTGAGACTGACAACAATCTGGATGAGTTGATGCCCACCCAAGGCGCACAAAGCCAAGTCAGCACCGACAATCCCCGACCGAACCCTGGCGCTCCCGGAGCCAGGGTGCCGGACCCAGGCTGATGCATTCGGCGGATCAAAGCGCCCGAGCTCAAAATGCACCTTGAATGATCGTCGAACGGCCTGGCGGCAAAGCCAGAAACAGATCTGGCGCGACATGCATCGAGGGGAGCATCATCAAACCAAGTCGAAGTAGCGGAACGGGCTATGCAATGCAACAACACCAGATAAGGAAAGAGCGCGGCAGCTGTAGGACCCTTCCCATGCCCTACCTCATCGAGTCTCTCCTGCGTTGCTAGTCCAGAGTCGATAGCTTTGGACAGGGTGGAGAACAGCGTGTCGCCCATCCTTGGTCAAGCCCTCCGGCCATGAAGGCGGCAACCAAACAAAAACATGCGATTTCACCAGAGAAAAAACCCAAAAAAAAAGTGGCCGTGAATTCAGGAGCTCTTCCCTTCGGAATGCTCAAATCTTGCATAGGCATAGACCAAAGTGTCACCGACCCAGCTTCTCAAAGGCCATTTGCCTCTCGCGGCATCATGTTGGCTTCAAGTCGCAAAAGCCAGCTTCTTACTCAAGGCTGGAGGTACAGGAAGGGCATTCAGCTAACGGTGCTATATGGCTATGCGTCAAAAACCCGTACCCCCGGTGAACATTCCAACCTCCACTAAAAAAGAGTAGACTAAAATGGGTGGTGCACCTACCCCAAAATGGTACCATTGGTGTTGACCCACGGCGTCTGACACTGTGGGCTTCTCATCCTAAATGCGGCCCGCGTGTCTCCAGGTCCGTCCCGTTCATCAGCGCGATGGCTGCGGCATGCATGTCATCAGGAGCATTCACCGGTGGGCCCTTCAGGTTGTTCACCGCACCGCAGTCCGTTGTCACATGCGCATCCTCGGGTCAGCTCACAAAAACCGGGAGACAAGCAAGCCTCCAGCCAACTGCCAGCAGCTGACATGCTGGAGCACCCCTCATCTGGGTTCAGCGCACAAACAACCTTCCGCCGAAGCCCTCTTTCGGTCAACTCTTCACCAGAAGTGGCTTCTGGGTGATGGCATTGTTCCATATCAAGCATCTGTAATTGAATGCACGGGCACAGACAAACTTGGGCGTTTTCCAGTAGCCATCTGAGCCGCTCTGTGAACGTCAGTTTTCTCACATGCGCAAAAAAGGACATCGCAACAAGCAAGGCGAAGGTCAAACAAAGCCGGCCAAAAGACCTGCACTCAGGCGCAAAGCTCACCACCTCTCCCCCCGACTAACCAAGACGCAGACTTCCAGCTCCGAAGCTGTTTGAGGATGAAGTCGTTGGCGCAGGATGGGCGCCCATTCTCCGCGTTGTAGGAGCACATCACCCCTGGCAGGGGATGTTTTGGGTCATCTCGCGGGGTCAAACAAGCAGCGGCAATCAAGAGGGGCCTGTTGGTTGCGCAGTAAAGGCCAGCTTGTACTGTGGCAAGTAGGTATCGAAGAAGTCAAAGGTGGAGATGTTGTACCTAGCTTGTGCACTTGCGCCTGCTTCCGTGCTCCCTTGCTCAATTTGCTTGTGTGCCATCTCGCACAAGTAATGCTCGCACGCCTCATGCAGGCCTCATGTCTCTTTCGAGGCACCGCCCCAGGGCTCACATCCAGAATTGCAATTCTCCTATGCAACCCAACCAAAAAAATGTGCGGACCAAACGGAAGGCGCTAAGGCACGTGTCGTGACCACGATTGGTCTCTGTGGAGTATGCGGTGTAGTGCTTAAGGTACGCAGCCACCTTCTTGAACCCGTGCTTGTCGGGCTCCTGCATGCCAGTCACCATCTTCCGAGCGTAGGTGCCGCTCAGGAAGGGATCCTCGCTGGCCAGCTCCGAGTTGCGGCCGAAGCGGGGGTCCCGCACGATGTTGATGTTCGGGCCGAACGCGGTCAGGCACACCGGGTTCTTGTGATCTGGGTGGAAGCGAGACGCCCCGATGTTGGACAGCGCCCGCTGCTCGGTACCCAGGACGTAACCTTTGCACATAGCATGGGAATAGGGAATCTACAAATCGCCTCTTCGCGGTGACCAGGCGCAAAACAAAAACCGTCTCGAAAAGTGGAAGGAAGCGCTGGAAGAACACTTGGACCTGCCTGGGAAACACAAGAATGCTGACGTATGACTCCAGGGCACCCTTCAATTGCCACGAACTCCGATTAAAGGATGCCGCCATGCCCATGGGGCCCACGAAGTTAGTGACACAGCGCTGCTCGGCTGGGCATGCAGCATCCACACCTCACATGCAAGCGTTGACACCAACCATGTCCTCGCCTGGACACATGCAAACTTGACGCTGTCCAAATACACCCTCAAGAGTCGTAGATGGCAACTAGGCATGCTCACATGCTCACGCGTAGGCGTGTGCAAGCAGTCATGCACGGGGGCCGGGGAGCGCTTGCGTGCTGAAATCTTTCCGACTTGGAGTAAGCTTCCCCTACCGCCACTCCTCCTGACCCTTGAAGAAACCCCCTGGATCGAGACGCAGGGTGCCCTCCACAGCGACATATCACAGGCCCTGTGCGCCAGGCACCTGTGTTCGTCTCCACCAACCACAGCCAGGGAGGGAGCCCAATGTCCGCCTTGCCGGTGGTGAAGGTGGTGCAGGTGCCTCGAACCAGAGAAACCAACAAAAAACAACCAGCCCTTCCCACGATCGTATGAAGCCGGGAATGTGGGGATCTCATGCGCCTGAAGTTCTTGGGGGAGCCATGAAGACTTGCACGCTGCCAGGCCAGCGCCAAGACAAATAGCATCAAGCTGCACCTGGGTGTGGCTCAAAATTAAGGTAGGGTTACGCAGGTTTTAGTCTTTGGCTCCATTGACCAGGGTGCCATTTTGGTACATCCTTTTGACCCACAGCCACTTTTTGCACTGCGCCGGTTGCTACCACAGCCCGGAAACCCCGTCCCTCGCCATAGCCAAAGAAGGCTTGCTGCCAGTCAGCGCCAGGCCTCCTAGCGAGCCATCAGGGGTGATCTGCTGAATCTTCTCATCTCGGCTGAGGCGGGACATCAAGTCGTCCAAACCTGAGTCAGGCAAGTCAGCTTTAGTTGCCTCGGAAACTCCGCGCCAAGGATGTGGTTTTGCCATTTCTTCGGGAAACACTTCTTTATAAGCTCCAAGGGGACCTCGCCAAAACCCATCAAAGAAAACAAGGATGTGCTGCAAATGGCCGCAGGAATTCATCTGCGTTCTTCCTGGAATAACCCTACTGGTTTCCAACAAAACAAAACTGTAGAGCTGGTCCAACTCGGGCGATATTATAAGAGGTTGTGGAACAGAAACCCCGTCTTCGGGCTACATTGTTTAAATCTGTATGGCTTGCAGTGGTTTGGGTCTTCTCTTTCAAGATCGGACATGGCGACCGTTAGTACAAGCTGAGTGCATGAAGCGCAAGCAAAACCAACAGCCAGGCACTTGGCACCTGCTGGTCCTGTCGTCCAACACTGTGCTCATGCCCGTGAGCAACATGCTGCTTCATTGGATGTCATGAAGACGTCTACGCGAGAGCAATCATGCACCTACAGTACTACACCAAGCACACCAGCCCCAGCCCGCAAATCGTGACTGTTCAGTACGAGTGTGACACACAAACTATATTTGGGCAGCTGTAGAGAAAGCATCACAACTGTTCAGCCATTGCAATCAGATAACGTGAGGATGTGAGGACGGAAAGGGCTATCCAGGTTGCCACCCCACAAGTTGTGGTTTGCCAGCAAACAAGGCTGCTTGATCGCTTTCTTCTTTCAAAATCTGAAGAAACTGAACAAAACGAGGATTCTGTCAGTATTACTACCTCATATCATACGCACCTGCTTTGTGCTTCTGCTTGCCAGCCGCCTCCCTCTTGCCCCTGCTTCACCAGGCAGGCTGGATGGCTAACAGACTTTCACAGATAGTCTTGCTTGCTGACCACTTTCCGCGGGTGGGCCTTTTTGCGATGTGCCTATGACTGCTCGAAAGCATGTGCGACCAAGAGGCGTTTTTCCACCGCGAGGCTTGGATTGCAATAAGGGAGGGCAGCTGCCTGCAAGCACGGTCGGTCTATGCGCCAGGAACTCACCAAACATAGGACCAAACATCCGTCACCGTTGCTTCAGTCTCTCTCCGAGTTGAACCCTTTTGACCTGCTCCAGTGCCAGGGCGTTTTTTTTTTCACAAAAACCCAGCGCCTCCAACTCCTCAGTTTACCCATGCTTACAATGAAGAACACCCCCGTCCACCCATAAAAAATCTCTTCCCAGCCACTCACCAGCGCATCCACCGGCGGCACGAAAAAAATGGCCTTCGGGTCCATGCAGCCATGCCAGTTGGGAGCCGCTGCTGCGCACAGGGCTCCTGCTCCGAAAACTGCGGGCGAGAAGGGCACCTCTGGCTTTGGAGGAATGCTGGCGGGGTCTTCATGCTGCGGGCAAAAAGTGCGACTTCAAGGATCGCCTGACCTACAAGCGACGAAGGATTGCCGGCTTGCTCGCCGCTCTTCTGCCCAATTTCAGCTTGCAGCGCTGGCCCAAATCTCAAACTCCCTCACTACTGGAAGCCTAAAGAGCCCAAACACTAAACCTGGTTGGCTGAAACCCCACCAGCCAGAAACAGCCCAAACCAGAAGCTGCCCTGACATCTTCAACCCGGGCTATACCCACAAACCCAGCATCGAACAGCTGCTCACGTGCTGCGGCCCCCTCCTGCCAGCCATTCGAAGCCGCGAAACGGCATGGCACCCGAGGCTTGGGACCCAAGCCGCGAGCCGCGAACAGCTGCAAAGCTCTCGCCACTTGACGTCGGCGCTGGGAAGAGCTATGGAACATGAGTGGTGGGGCTGGAACAAAGGCATCGCAGATTTGGGCTGAGCTCCCAGAAACTGGATTTGCCAAGCATCGACAGCAGGCTGCGGGGCATTCTCTGCGCGAGTAGGGGTGGCCACCTTCTGCAGCAAGGAGCCTTGCAACACGTCGACTTGCAGCCATTCTGGGTGCCGATCAGAAACTGGAAATCAGCTGGGGGATCCTGCCTGTTCCTGCACCTGCCAGCTCATCCACTGAGAACCTTGCAAGACAGTGCAGGGGTCCACTGCTCCCATGGGCAAGCTCGAAAAAATCGAACCATTGCAACTGCCGCAAGCTGCCGGCAGGATGCACTAAGCGTTCGAAGTCGACGTCGATGCCTTGGCTGACAACCCGAGCATCTGACAGCTACCATCCCCCATCCCATGTGGACTCTGGAGCCATCAGCTCACCGAGACAGCCGATGTGTGGACCGAGTAAGGTCCGAAGAATTGCCGCCGCGCCGCGGTTGCCTTGCAGGTTCGGGCATGGCATCTTCCTTTCAAACAACTTCAATGGCGAGTTGCCATTTTGTTTTTGCACCGATTCACTGATGACACATCCCTAACAGGACCTTCCCCCCCGCAAAAACGCCACGTCACGTGCGGCTCTCTCCCTAGCGGCACTAGCGCCTTCCTGGTTCTTCCTGCCGGCAGCGTTCAGCGAGCCCAGGGGCGCAGGCGCAAAGGCGCCCACCACCCGGAGGTCCGCTTTGACCTGAGCGCAGCCAAACGCGAAATGGGAGATCTCAGGCTGCCGGAACGCCAGAACCCAACCGCAAACCAGCCCATCTGCGCACGGTATTGGCTCGGTTGCTTTCTGCTCCCCTGCAAAAAAGTCTAACTTCTAGTGGTTTAATGGAAAATCCATTAGTTGGCAAAAAGTTAAAGTCCTAACATCCAAGCAAAATGCACCAAAGTTGGGAATTGCTCGATTACAATTGCCGGCCTAGGGACTAGACCAAGCTTGTGCGTGACCAGCGCCTCGTTCTCAAAGGCGCGAGACCTCTGTCGCCCAAACTTTCATGTCACGCACACTGCAGAGCTTAAAACGGGTGAATCCACAGGTCCCCGCTCATGGGATGCGAAGGATTGAGCCACGCATGACACAGAAGCTGGCATCTTCCAACTGCCGCAACTTCAGACTCCCAGGTACCAACAGCCCGCGAGGCTCAGTGTTCATGCCAGCCGTTGGCCGGGCAAGCCAAGCCACGACACGTTGATCAGCTGGTAGACGGGGCCCAAGGCCAGGCCAAGGGGCAAGTTTGCCAAGCCAGTGATTTCGGGAGCATCCGTGTACAGGAGGCCTCAGATCAACGAGCAAAGGCAAGGGAACAACATCTTAAGCCTATGTTGCACACGAAGGAAGGTGAGGTTCTGGATACACAACTCATTGCCGCAACATTTGGAATAGAGGCAATGGCGGCATCAAAAAAAAAAAGATGATGCCGGTCACAGTTCGCTGTGCTCATAATCAACTCAAATTGGTTCTACCCAGCTGGTTACCACGGTGTGATGAATGTATGCCTTAACTTACAGGGCCAACCCCCCCCTCCAACACAAGAACCGCCTAGGTAGGACTAGTTGAAGCCAAGTCTGATTGGGCTAGCCCCCGCCTAATGGGTGTGGCAGACTTCCTTTGGTGGCCTTGTGCCCGAAAAGGCGCCCCGTGCCAAGGCAACCGTTGGCAAGCCCAACCAGCACCCAGACAGCGCATGTGAATGTGGACACTGCCCTTCCGTTTCACGCACGAAGGGCAAAGCAAATTGCTTCTCAATGTGTGAGGATGGCAAGTTCCGTGCCCGCCTCAACTATGTTGCGTCGGGACTGTCGCCTATGAAGCCAACACTCAGTAGCTCTGCCCAGGCAAAAGCCGAGGAAAAAGACCGCAGCACCAAGCCACGGCCATTGCTTTGCAAGGTCCATGGGCTTGACCTCGACAGGGTCCGCCTTCGGCATTAGGTTCCCCAATTTTGACAAATGCCTCACGTGAGGGTCGTACAAGTATCTGAAAAAAGGCACCTTCGCCTTCCAGAAGCTCGCGCTATCGGGTCCATTGGGACCCTTCAGCTGCAGCTGATACGGCACTCGGCCAGACTCAAAGATGTGCCGCACGAAGAGCCCCGACTGGTTCAAGGCACGCTCTGCCGCCCACAGAGGCTCCCCCAGGCCGCAGCCCTCTGAGTACATGGGAAACACGTGCCACATCGCGTGGTAGACCTCCAGGATCACGTCGGCCCCACCCTGAGCAGCTTGCTGCGCCACGTGCACGGAGTCCCCGAGGATAGATTCGGAAGCACCGGCTGCAAGGTACAGTGGCGGCATGTCGCTGGCAAAGTCGGCAGGTTCTGCAAAGTAGGGCGATGCCACAGGATCTGTCTGCAGGCGGATGTCACCTCCAACGTAGTCAAGAGCAGTGCTTGAGAAGCTATTGGAGTTCTCCGGCGTGATTTGTTGGAACAAGATGTCCCCCGTATACACGGTCGGCTCAGACTCATCCATGAACATGCGCTCGCCCCGGATCTTGGAAAAGGCATTGGTGTAGTACTCCGGCGTGTTGCACATGAGGTTCGTCCAGGGGCTGAAGAGGAAAGCGCCCGAAAGTTTTTGGTTCAGCAACTGCGGCCTCCTTTGGAATGTCAGCACTAAAGACAGCGTGGTGCCGCCGCCAGAGGAGTCGCCTCCCACGAAAAGAGGCACTTCCTCCTTGCAGCCATCCACCGGGCCGTTCTTGGAGAGCCATTGCAAAGCAGCGATTGTCCACTCAAGGATGCTGGTGTAGTTGCCCACTGGCACCAATGGATAGTCATGGACCATGACTACCGTACCAGTGACCTTAGCCAGTCGCGAGCCCAGCTGGGCATAGGACATAGTGGTAGGAGAGCCTTGTGTCCAACTGCCCCCATGGGTGTAGAGCGTCCTAGGGGTTGAGCAGGTTGCGCCATCAGGTATCCACATCGTGTCTAAGCCCCTAAGGCCCACCTTGTCATCCCTGCAGCTGTCATCATCGCAATGCCAAGTTGCGCCCTCTCGCTGAACATACTTCTGGGTCACACCAGAAGCAAAGTTTTGGTCCAAGCAGCAAGAACTGTTCTTTACAAGCTTGCTGTAGCAACACGCCGTCGCTGGCGCCAGCAAGTGCATGTGTTTCTGACCAGCCAATGTGCAGTTTGCCTCATCCCCACCCTTCCCTCTGGAGGACTGTCGAGGAGAAGCTTGCGGCCGGAGGCGCGCTGGCTGCGAGGATGTCAGCGCCACGCAACTGGTGAGAAATAAGATCAGCAGCGCCATGCCTTGATGCAGCCTCGATTCAACTTTAGCCTAAACGGCTCTGGGGCGGCACGCGGGGTTGAAAAATATGCGGCGAGAGACCAGGACAGCCAGTGTGGAGAGGCAGTGTATGTGATTGAGCTTAGTCAGATTTAACGTGGTGCCGTGGTATGTTAATCTTGACACCATCAGGCAGCTCGTCACATAGAACGCAACGACCCCATCCATGCCTGCCCTTCTTTGTTGTCAATGCGGGCAAGGCTTGCCATGCTTAAGAGGGGTACAAGCCAGCACCAGATTTGCACGTGGGGTTGTACAAAAAGGGGCTATCCTTTTTGGCGTTGTCTTTTCTTCTTACTCCTTGTCGTTTTCCAGCTTTTTTGCTTTGAGCTAATACCGTATCCGACTTTACTAGGTTCAGGCGCGCAAGTGAAGTGAGGAGGGAAAAGCGGCAGCAACTTGTTCAATCCACGTTCGCGACGCTGGCTCGAAAGTCGCAACAACTTTTTAGTACAAGTGTAGCGCGCAAGAGTACGCCTTGGCAGCTCCGGCTCGGAGGTTGCAACTTTTCAGTACAAGCGAGAAGTATTCTTCGGCAGCTCAGGATCGAAAGTCGCAACCTTCAAGTACAAGTGCGCTACGCAAAGTGCACTTTGGCAGCTCCATCTCGAGTGCAACCTTAAGCACAAGTGTAGTACGCGAAGTACACTTTGGCAGCTCCCAGCTCCGGCTCGCAAGTCGCAACTTCCAGGTACAAGTGTAGCGCGCAAAGTACACGTTGGCTAGAAAGTCGCGACGTTTAAGTACAACTGTCGTACGCGAAGTACACTTTTTGCAGATCCGGCTCAAAACTCGCAACTTTTAAGTGTAGGTGTAGTATGTGAAGTACACTTTGGCAACTCCGGTTAAAAACGCGCAACTTTTAAGTGGAAGTGCAGTGTGCGACGTGTGCGAAGTACACTTTGGCAGCTCCGGCTCGAAAGTCGCAACTTTTAAGTGCAAATGTAGTCTGCGAAGCGCACTTTGGCAGCTCCAGCTCGAAAGTCGCAACCTTCAAGCGCAAGTGAAGCGCGCGGAGTGCACTTCGGCAGCTCCGGCTCGGAAGTTGCGCAACATTCAAGTACAAGTGTAGTCTGCGAAGCACGCTTTGGCGGCTTCGGCTCGAAAGTCGAGATTCAAGCATAAATGTAGTACACAAAGCACGCTTTGGCAGCTCTGGCTCGCAAGTCGCAACTTCTGATTGTGAGCGTGGTATGCAAAGTACACTTTTGCAGCTCCAGCTCAAAAGTCGCAACTTTCAAGTTGTTTCTCAGTTGTGCATCGCTCATGTCTTATTTGTTACCGTTGTTCAATCCGTATCTTTTTTGCAGGGTGTTGGTTGCATGTTTTGTGAAAAAATGACCGGCCCAATACCAAAGTAGTACACGCCCGGTCTATACAACGATCGGAGCGATCATTACAGTCCTTTTGTTGGGGGCTTCTTCGGCTAGCATGCAAGTTTCCAGAGGTTGTCACTGGGCCACGAAACTGGGACGACGAAATGCAGCTTGTGGTCCAAGCGTCGCCAGCAACCACCAAGCTCGGCCAGAAGGCGCGGATCCTTGACCGCAAAAAACGGACCTTTGAATGGCATCCAGCCTCTGAAACGTCACCTGTGGCAAGCGCAATGCCGGCATGCAGTGGGAGTCCTGCAGAAGCTTCCGCAAAGACTGGCGGGGAAAGCTCGATTCCAACCTTGCAAGGACGCAGCTCGAATCAGAACATGTTCCTCTCTGCCGCACAACGCCTTTCCAAAAACCCTTCACGGGTCCGTAAACCTTGCCACAAGCTGGTAGCTCCTCATGGTTTGCAACATGCCCGGTAGCAGTCAAGGAACTCGTCAGCAAGAGCCATCACCGCCTCAGGTTGCATTCGACTGAAGTTGGCAATTGCAGCTTGGCATGTGAGTCATGGGTGCTTTGGCTCCCCGCTCTCTAGGTGCCACTACTATTCTTCCACAACCGGAGACCCCGTCGATACCAGGTTTGGATTTGGGTGCGGATCTATTTTAGGCTTTTTCAGATTTGTTTGGTTTTTGTTTTCTTTTTCTTTTTTTTCCGTTTTTCGTCCGGGCCAGTAAAATGTCGTATGTTACAGCATTTTCTCGCGAAATTGACGCATTTTACACTAGCCCGTCAACTTCCCCAGCATCGTCTTCAACATCCCCCGCATGTCCGACCAACATCCCTAGCATCACCAACAAATCGTGAAATCGAAAAAGCAGCTGGCGGGTTGACGGGGTCAAAAAAATCATGATTCAAATAGGAGGGCATTTAGCCCCCGTAAAAACAGTCTAAAAAGCGGGGGTTGGGCGGGGGGGGGGGCAGCCCCCCCCATGATGTTCGCAGAAGTGATTCGAACAGGGGGTGCAATTCAATCTCTGCAAAAAGTATAAAAAGTAGGCGGGGGTTGGGGGGGGCGGCAGCCCCCTCCCCAGATGTTCGAAGAATTGATGATTCAACTAGGGGTGCAATTAAGTCTCTGTAGAAAATCTAAAACTTAGCGGGGGGTTGGGGGACACCCCCCCCATGATTTCGCAAGAAGTGATGATTCAAGCAGGGGTGCAATGATTGAAGAGGCAGCGGGACGGTTGGCGGGGGTGGCTTCCCCTATGATGTTCGAAGAAGTGCATACATACAGACATGCAGATTACGTAAAACGTCGTATGTTGCAGCATTTTCTCGCGAAATTGGACGCTCGAAAAAGTGATGAATCAAAAAGGGGTGCAATTCAATCTCTGCAAGAAATCAAAAAACAGTAGCGGGGGGGTTGGGGGGGGGGGGGGGGGGGGCGGCAGCCCCCCCCATGATTGTTGATTCAAATAGGGTGCAATTCCATCTCTGCAAGAAATCTAAAAAGTAGCGGGGGTTGGGGGGGGGGGGCTGCCGCCCCCCCCCATGATGTTTGAAGAAGTGTTGATTCAAATAGGGGTGCAACAGTAGCGGGTGGGTTGGGGGGGGGCTTCCCCCCATGATGTTAGAAGAAGTGATGATTCAAATAGGGAGGAACTGGTGATGCTGATGACGCGGGAAGCCAAATCCAAAAACCAATGAAAGGGTGCAAAAGCCAAGAAGCCCAGAGAGGAACTGTGAAAGCAGAGGATGCGAAAAGCCAAAGCCCCCAAAACCAGCGAAAAGCCGCAAAAGCCAAAACGCCACCTGCCGAAGAGGAATTGGGAATGCAGAGGATGCAAAAAGTCAAAGCCAAAAAGCCACCAAAAGCCGCATAAACCAACAAAAAGCCGAAAAGCCCAGAAGCCGAGAAGCCGAAAAGCCAAGAAGCCGAAAAGCCAAGAAGCCAAGAAGCCAAGAAGCCAAAAAGAAAACGAAAAACATCCTAAAATAGATACCCCTCCTTTGGATTTTGACTCATGTGGGAGAGCAGGCTTGCTTTCCGAGGCTTTGCAGTGCTAAGTGAAGAGACGATGGGGCATTCTCTATCGAAAGAGCTGGCAACTTGCGGCAGGGGCGATGGTTAGCAGAGCACGCGTTGCGTTTCTCTTGAAAACACTTGGATTTGTCCAAATCTTGTGTATCACCCAAAAGCCACAAGGACACATCGACTCGCAAGAAAGATCTGCCACTTTCTCCAAGCCAAGCAGAAAGGAACACGCTGACCAACCAAACCCCAACCTCCCCCAACCAATACGGTTCACGCGTTTCTGCACGAGTCATGCAGTCTTACTTGAAGATGTTCGCAACCATCACGGCTTTTCTTAATCACAGTTTCCGAATCCCGGCATTCCGCCAGTCAAGGATTCTTAGCCTTCACCGCAATGTAGTGCAGAAAGGCTTCTAAATGGAATGAACATCTCATGATGAAATATTCCGCATGCTCTCTCGCGGTGTCAGGCATCACGTGCGCTCAGACAAGTGCACTCTTCCAAGCGAGCCTTGCTGAAGTTCCTCGAGTGCTCTCATAAATCCGTCACATATGAAGTCAAAGTGGCTTGAGCCGTCTCAGCGCTCACTGTTGCAGATGTTGCTGGCGCACCAGGGAAGCTAAGGCTTTGCACGTCCACCTGCAAACCGCCACGCGCATGTCACACACAAAGACGGGAATCATCATAGGTGGCCTTCTGGCAAAATAGATGGCCCTGGTAAATGAAATAAACCCCATCTAAACAAGGGCCCTCTATCTTTTAAGTAAATTAACCAAAAAGGACACCTATGAGAATCATGACCTTTGAAGAGTTGGAAGCGCCCTACGGTGTCCAATGCTTTTGAGAGTTCTCCTCAGCTTGACGCTGCATGCTACCAAGCTGAGAACTGGCGCCAGCTCCTGAACCTGATGCCAAACTTCCCCTTGTACACGGCTAGGACAAAATTGGCAGGTATCGCAACACAGTGCAGACTTCCGCCAAGGGGTGGCTCAGACGTTGGCCATAAGGTTCTCAGAACTCCCTTTGAACACCCCAGGCCCCTCAATGGATATCTATCTCTGCTCCAACCACAGGAGCCTAAACTCCGCGCCTGCCGCAGCAACGTGTCAAGCAGCAGCTGCCGTGGGTTTTGGGCCGCAGCTGCAGGAGCACCTAGCCCAAGCAGCCTTAGCATTCGAGTTAATAGGGCAAGGCAGGCTGTCGGAGGGCGAAACTTGGCCAAGATGCCACCCCACTGCGTCTGAGCAAATGGCTTCACGAGTGTCGCGTAGGGAGCATGGCATGTAGAAACAAGCTATTTGGACATACATATGTATATATATATATACATGAACACATGTGTATAGATATGTGTGTGCACGTGTGCCAGCATCCTCTAGGTTGCTCTGAGGACAAGTTGTTCCACAAGGTTGGATTTGTCGCTTCTTGGGCCGCTCACCTTGGACGTATACCAACAGGGTCGCTCTGTCTGGCTTCGTCTTCACGGAATGGTAGTCCATTGGCCTGTTGCATGTTTGGGACCCCGCTCATGCGAGCAAAGCCCAAACATCTGGCCAACCAATTGCCGCTTTGGAGCAGCAACTGGCGACGACGTGGAGCCTCACTGGCTCAAAGCTGTCATGACAAGCAGGTGCTACGCTGAGTGTCTCACGCCCTGTGCAAACTCACTCGAGAAGACTGCAGGAAGCGCCAGCACAAGCAGAGCAGCACACCTCAGCATCAAACAAAGCCCTGTCATGCATGGATACTCCACCAAGCTCGCGGCAAAACGCCAACCCGCTTCGCATATCGCTTGCCCATGGCGCATCGTAGCTCCCAGGCGAGGCCGACAAAGCTAAGTGAGCAGGCCTTCTCATACAAGTTGTGTGCGACTGCAGCGGTGTGAATTGGCTAAGCTTCTAAAACGACCGCGCAGCGGTTTTCTGCTGCTTGTGGTTGAATCGGTTCATCTAGAATCAACATATGCTGCTTTGCTGCGCGCAAATTGGCAGCCATGAGGTCGTGCTGGAGTAGTTAACACAAAGGGCACCAGGACCACCTTTGGAGGTTGAGCCCTGAGCACTTTGCGTTGCTTAGGCCTACCAACTTCCGCGGCATCACAAGCCTGCAGTCAAAGTGTTGCGCCATCCCCCCTATCGAAAGGGGGAAGGGGGAGGGGGGGGGGTCCCCAATTCCATGTGTCTAGTCTTCCCCATAAAACGGACATGGAACCATACCTGAAACTCCAGGGGTCCCCCCCCGCCAAATTCCGTATTTAAGGAATTGGGTGGAGATGAACTCAGCCTTTTCGGAGCATTGGCTCTCCTTTGCGCGCGACATTGCCTTTGGCAACTCTCACAGCCGTCAGTGGAACCAGGTGCAAAAAGAGAATGCGCAGCGGGGGCCAGCAGGCCCTGGCCTGCTACCAAAGCGGGTGAGCCAAGGCCGTCACGAGTGGCGCGGAAGTTTCTCCGATCTGTGCACGGCCACTTCTGTGTTCGGGGGGTGACCGCTGCCGGTGCCAAACTCAGCTAATTCTGCCTAGTCCCGCGTAGATGTGAAAACCGTTGGAATTCCGGTGCTACTTTGCAAGTTCCGATTGGAGCGTTGGAGACCAACGTGGCAATGCAAGAATGATTTGAAATGCTACTTCTACAGGTAAGCAGCACAGGACTGAGGAACATCCCACACTGAGATCTTGGCTAGGGTACCTGCCCTGATGTAGGAGAGTGGCGTGCAAAAATCATCACTTGAAGAAGGAAGATTGCAACCTCCACAGGTCGAGGGATGAGCGCTGAAGCACCGAGCAAGACTGGCCATCTTAATCAAGCAAAAGAAGACTGGGCGCTTCTGCCATCCACATGGCCGGAAGTGACGGGCTGGGACGAAATTTGGGCAAAGTAGTGAATGAGCAGGTCAGTATCAATTGTTCAAAGGGCTCATGCTGGGCTAGAAGCGCCCTCTTAAGCAGAACGCAGGTTCTGGCTTGTGCCACTGTGCTGCACCGAATTGAGAACTCGACAAACCGGCGGCAAATGCAAAACCGCGCAAAGGCAAGCGCAACGCTTCTTAAAACCAGCCGCCTACCTTAGCATGCGGTTTACATTGTCCTGCTCACAGGTGTTGAGCTCCCAGCGTATAAACCTCAACATGGACTCTCATGATACTGTCCATCTCTGCAAGAGTTGCCCTGCGTATGGGAAGCGAAGCGGTGCACACTCCCCCCCCTAAGGCTGCATCCTGTCCTCTGTCCAGTAGCCAATCTTGTAGTCGCCCTTCGCAGTTGTATAGGCCTCAGGCCCCAGCTCTCTGCTGGCCCGGCTGGCTCGACGCGGCGCGACGGGAGCCGTTTAGGGAGCTGGCGCCGCGGCCATGGCGCTTTCCTCTCCTTGGCCGACGTGGACAGACGTCGTCCAGTGCTCCTTTAGGAACACGGTTTTACTCAACCCGCCTCCATCGAAAAAAACAACCAAGCAGAACCCTTTTGCCGGGCCGATGTGGCTGTGGTACCCCCGGTGAACATCCCAATCCCCACTAAAATACACCAAAATGGGCGGTGGACGTCCTCCCAGTCACCTCTAAAGCACCCCGCCATGCCAAACGCACTTCGACGAGCCGTTCCCCTCAGCCGGCCAACTGCTCGGGTGCCCGGCATCCACTCGCCCTCGTAGCATCGGCCATCGGGCCAGGTGAACTTGCCCGTCCCATGCTTGAGGTCCTAAAGCAACCAATTTCAGCGTCAGATCCTCATTAACTTGGGAGTTAATCTTTTCTAACTTTTGAATTCACTCTGTTTCTTCAGATCCCGGGTCATTCAGTTTCTGGCCTCCAAGTACTCCCCTTCATAGCACATTGTGCCTGGCGCAGGGGCCATGCAAGGCTGATGGAACATCCACATCCAGCCTTTGGCCGTCCTCCAAACCTCGGAACGCTCGCCGGTCCGGGCACGGCTTCTCAGATCCTGTGGCTGCGGCCATCCGTCCCATGCCGGAGAAGTGACCCTTGACGTACTGCCCTTCGTAAAGACGCCTGCAGTGACCCGGCCCTTTTGACAATCACTGGGGGCCTCGCACATTTGACATGCTTCATCTCTCACCATGCTTTTGGTCAGACATCGTGCAGAACCCTTTGCCTCGCGTTCGCGTGCTTGCAAAAAAGCCGACCGGGCAGCTTCAGTGCAGGCTGGCTGCTCTTCCAGTCGGATGGTTCAGCCCAGAGTTTGAAAAAGCATGACGGTTGGCCCATCCGTGGTCTCTCCCTTCAGGCATGGATGCATTGGTTACCCCTCGCAGTGCAGCCCAGGCACCCGTCACTCCAAATCTGTCTGCCAGTTCCGTGCTGCAAATCATCCTGCCTGCCGATGGCTTGAAATGGGCTGACTCTCTGCACATGGCAAGCCGGCTTCGATTCGTTGTCCAACGCTTTGCCACAGACATCCGCCAGGCAAAAGGACAAAAAAAGCACCCCCAGGTCGCACCATTCGCCCTCGTACACTTCCGTGGGGCTCTTGTAAACCTTGGCCAGCTACGATATGCGCAGGGCTCGCTTTGAATTCCTCTTCCTCTACCCCCACCAGGTCCCGCACACCTGGGCCATGTTTCAAGCCATTGCGCAAGCAGCCCGTGTAGGTAGAGCCATCTGGGTATTGCCTTGGCCATGAACACCGCAAACCACCATGCGATCCTGAGCCCTGAAATCCAATTCCCTGAACTCTGAGCCTATCTGGGCCCAGCGCACCGTCTTGTCCTCCATGCCCGTGAGCCTGCTGGCTTGGGACTTGCGTCCGGAACTGCCTTCGGAGGTTTGCTATTTGTTTGGCGAATCCGGGCCTGCCCAGCAAGCCCACCAACACCTTGCTGCATGTTGACACATATGCACCTGGACCTACACACCTGCACCTCCACGAAAACATGCAAGCGCGTGCATCCACACCCGCACCAACACGCATGCTCCTACACAACGCGATAAGGCTTCACCTCCTAGATTGCCATTGCGCGGAGGTGCTACAACAACCAAGTCGAAGACACAACCACCCGCTGCTCAAGCCAGGAATCAACGCCCCTAAGGTCCAAACCCCAACTTGCTGAGGCGACGCGTTGGGGCTGGCCTCAACGTTTCGGGTGTTTGGACAATGGGCATTCTGAGCAGCGCCCCGCACAAACATCGTCCAAATGCTGCCCACAAAGCCCTCCAAATGCTCAGCACTCGCGTCTGAGGGCCGGGGCACCGGGACTAAAGCTGGAGGTGCCCATGCTGGCGGTGCCCAAAGCATTTGGCGGCGACTTGGAATGCATGTCCGCGCCTGGCAAATCTGAGTCAGAACGCTCCGGGGCCCAGAGCCAACCGTGTCCGGAGTCGGGAACAGAACTCTAGGGCATGGCCCCGAAACTCCGCAGGACTGCAAACACACACGCACACACACACACACACAAAAAAAAAAAGAGGTGGTTTCTTAGTATTCGAACTGGTCACTATCAACTTTTTCCCAAAAACCTCCTGGCTCGACCCTACAGTCACAACGAGCCGTTCGCCAACCGGTTGGCTCTAATGCCGAGGTGCGAGGCGACCCAGCAGGCGACGACCAGGCATGCATTTGTTTCACCTCAAGCCCCGAAGCTGCTACCGGCGTCAGAATGGGCATGGGAACCGACAGCGAGGATTCTTACGTATAAGCAGGGGTTCAAGAACGCATGCGCGTACTGAAGCACCAGGTTGGCACCTGCCTCACGAGTCTCCACAAACTCTTCCGAGCCCATGTATCCACTGGAGCCTCAAAATACAAGGTCTCACAATGTCTCACAGAAGGATGCGAAGGCCAAGACGCAAAAAAAAGAAAAAGAAACATGCTTGCTGAGCCGCATGGGAGTGCACCATCCTTCGGCTCGCAAGTTTGGCCTTGGTGAACTCAGCAAAATGAGCAGAACATGCCAAAGGCTTGAATCGCAGTCAGGCTTGGATTGCAAAATGCTTGAATTTCTCTTGACCTATCCCAGCAAAACTGCACCCTGCATGACATAACTGCTTTGAAGATGCAATATGTTCCGCAACCATTCAAGGTCGCAGGGACCTGCGACCACGAATCACTTTGCTTTTCTGGAAAGCAAGCACAGCTCACCACGCCTGGTTGCCCATGATAAGTCGCGAGTCTCCCGTCCCTCAACCGTTGCTTGTGCCAAAGTCGAAGGAGACAATCCACCAAGTAACCCCTGACGCCATATCGGCTCGTGCCGGAATGTTGGCATGCCGCAAGAGGATCAAACAAGACTCAGCGCTTCTTTGGCTCAGCTCATCGGCACACATGCCAACGAGGAAAACGTTCCTGGCTCAATTGGCGGCAATCCGTGACAGCGCTCCAACTTGTCGCGCGACCAAAAGCCACACCTGGCCTAAGATTGGCCATGTGAAGCGATTTCGCTGTGGGAAACAACCCTGAAGGGAAGGTTTGAAGGCTTGGCGGGCTCAGTTCAAGCCAGTTCGGCCATCTGGGCTTGGCCCACTTTCGCTCACTGGAAGAAGGGCAGGCCCGCGCGAGGGTCCATTTGTGGTTTCATCTCGGTGTTGCGGAAGAGCTCTAAGATCTGCTCTTTCTTGGAAAGTTCCTTGATGCGGTCGTCGCCTTCCAATGCTGCAGAGACTTCCTTGCTGTCAATGCCCACCTCAAAGCACAGCGCGTCGATCTCCTCCTCCGACAACTCCGACAGGCGGCGGATCATGATTTCCTGCTCGTACTGGGATAGCTGCTTGGCATAGGTGGTCTGCTTGTTCTCCACCCGCCAGAGGTACTGCGAGAGCCAAATGATGAGACCCGCGGAGTAGACACCTGTCACTGCCATGCCGGCCTTCGTCCAGTCCATGAAGAGCTCAAAGAACTTCTCCAGGCCCAGGCCCAGCCCGATGCCAAGGATCGAGCCCAGCAGCAGCCCACCATTGGTGCTCCATCGGTCCATGAACTTGGCCATCGGGTCACCGTCCTCCTCGTCGGTAAGCGGCTCCACCTCGGCCCGCGTGCCCTGCATCTGGGGCTTCTGGGGCCTCGGCCTCCTGTCCAGGGGCCCAACAAAGCTGGGGGAGAGGGCGCAAAAGCCCCAGAGCAGGAGGCACCCCAGCAGCGGTCGACGAGCCATGGAAGGCCGAGATCGGAATAGGCGCTCTTCCTGTGATTGAGTCGTGTCACATGGGGCTCTGAAGTCCCACGGCTGGAAACTGGAGCCAAAAATGGCACAGCACGCGTGCATAATCATCAACCTTCACCACCCAAACAACACGCGAGGTTTTCCTGTGTTGCTTTACTTTACTCGTTGGGACATGCGGGGATCCTTGCTGTAGGCGACCATGTTTCCCCCAAACGGCATCCCCGGCAAGCCAACCAATGATTTCACTCACACCAACTTGGTTTTGACTGAACGCATCCAAGCTAAAAGCAGATCTGATTTGGACAGGTTCATAAATAGCCCTGATGCTTACCGTCCGCCGCGAACCGCCAAGCCATTGCCGCTAGCAAATCTCGTCGCTTGCAATAGTGCGACGCTGTGGTGACAGCTGCTGCGCACCTTGCAAACGAGCCTTGTGCGAATTTTCTCGCCGACAAGCAGATTGTTTTTTTGCTGAGTCGCAGGGCTTTGCTTTCCCCAGCACGATCGATATGTCCCGGCCCCACACCTAAAAACACACACAAACACACACAGACACACAGACACAGACACAGACACAGACACAAACACAGACACAGACACAGACACAGACAGAGACAGAGACAGAGACAGGGACAGAGACAGAGACAGAGACAGAGACACAGACACAGACTAAAACAATCGGTAAGCCCTACTCCGAGCCGGACCAACATAAAGAAAGGCGCTGGGGGCCTGTCGCAGCCTCAAACAAATCGGTCTGCAATACTGGGGGCGGCGCAGTTCCGCAACGCATAGCAAGCGTTGATTTCAAACAAGTCTGTGTTTGAGCGTTTTTGCGAGGCGCTCCACATTTCGGCGCCTTCCAGCTGTAGCTATGAGACAAGCTTGTCTGCGCAAAGTGATTGGTGCAAGTTTCTCCGCACTTGCTTGCGCAAGTTCTCAACAACAAGTTTTTCTGGGTGAGCTCTCTGCGCACGCTTCTCTCTGCAAGTAGGTTGCGCGTGTTTCTCTGCGCCGCTGACTCCTGCAGATGCCTAAAAGCATTGGCAGCGCCGGCAAGCTCTCCTAGCAAGTTCGATGTAAGTTTGATGTGCAAGTTGCTCTGAGCAAGTTGTTGGCGCGATTCTTTTGTGAGCAAACTCTCCAAGCAAGTTCTTGGCACAAGTTCTCTAAGCAAGACCACCACACAACAACCCTTCGACGTGAAAACACTGTCGATCCGGACCTGCGAAAGTGCACATCGAAATGCTTTTGTCGTGAAAAGCTGCGATCTGCCGGCCGGAGCCTGCTCAAAGCGCCCTTCGCGCAGTACGTTCGTAACTTCCAGCAGGAGCCTTCTGAAAGTGCACTCCGTGTAGTACTTTCGTAGTTCAACTTGCGATTTCCTGCCAGGGCTGCGAAGAAAGCGTACGTCGCGTACCACTTTTCCCAGCCGGAGCTACAAAGTGCACTTTGTTAGAAGCTGCGGAGACCAAGCTGGATTCGAGCCTGGTGCCGCTCGCTTGCACAAACCACAGAACAACCTTTCAAGCTGGTGTCCATCCGTGCGATCAACCGCGGAAAGTCAAAAAACGTGCTCAGTTTTCGGACTTTGGCCACGCAACGGGTTGCGCGAGCACAGTTTTTTTGTTGCGCGCCCATTCAAGTTGGAGGTCCCATAGGGATTTGGGGGGTAGAAAGAAATGATGATATCGAAAAGTTGGATTCATCAAACCATGTAGCTTTGTACAAACGGCTCAGCTGTTGACGTCCACTGACAGCTTGTAGCAGCATCAAGCCAACGACCATGTTGTGGGAAACCTATATCATTGAAAGGCTGTGATTGATAATATAATCCTATCTCACTGAGGGTCGGCCCACTCTACGGACTAAATCAAATTTTTGTGGGTGCCCAGATGGCCGGAAGGCCGGAAGGGCCGGAGCGCACTGTCCCCCGCGAGGCCCCCCAACATGCTTGCCCGGGGGACCATGCTCCTGCAGCACTCTCCAGCTTTGATTGCGGTCAGTCGTTGGATTAATCTTCCCCAACTTCCGGCTTCCGGCCCGATCACTTCCGGCCAGGCCCGCGGACCAGCCCAATCCAGCCGGCTTCCGGCTTCCAGCTCCGCACCCCAAACCGATCGAAACCACCTGAAAACAGCCGAAAACACGTTAAAACTATCCGAAACAAACCCTAAACCAAACCTAAAACACCCGAAACCAAACCTAAATCGCTGCTGTCAAAACTCTGCATTACCGTTAGAGCCCATGTACGTACCGTTTTCCATGATGACACGTGTTGCATTAGCATGCTTGATGTCATTCTTTCATGTACATGTTTGCCACTTGAATAACTTGTGCTGAAACCGGACGCTAGGGCTCAAAAGCAGTTTGTGGAAAAGGACCGGAGATTTCTCATGGTAGCGGAGCTCTCCTAACTAACGCAGCAGGACCTCCATTCGCCCGCGCCGACGCCATAGCTCTGCTTGGTACATCTTTGCTTGTGAGATATTTCCATTCTCTCTGCAGAGGTATTACCTATCAGCTGAGGGGCGACTCACAGAGCCCAATACACATACACACAGACCTGATTGATTTGTGATTGCAGTCGACAGCGGTACACACAGCTTCGCGGTTGGCTTTCAATACGCTTGCATCTTTGTGCTTGGTGTTTGCGCTTGCAACAGGATGGCAACTTTGAGTGATTTGCTGGGTGCAGCCAACAACAGTTTTGCTTTGGTATCTGCTGTTAGGAAGCCTGATGTTTTCAATCATGAGACGCATGAACAGGAGGTTGCGCATTGGGACACATGGAGCAATATCTTTCGAAATTGGATTTGCTGCATTGAGCCGCATTATGAGACTGACTTCTCGGCCGCAGAAGCCAGATCTGTGCCTATTGGAGTTGATCAGCTTACAAAGGAAGGTCGCGCGAGATCTATCAAGCTGTATGCCATCCTCACTTCCTATATTGTGGGGAGATCAAGCAAATTGCTGAGAAACGTGCAGCATTCCAATGGCATTGAGACTTGGAGACGTCTTGCCGAGACCCTTGCACCTCAGACGCGCCAGAGAGGTTTGAGCATTTTGCAGAATATTTGCCAACTCAGTCCTTGCAAGAAACCCCTTGACTGCGTTACTCAGCTAGAGAATTTGATGGTTGAGTATGAGCGTGTGACAGGGAAACAAGTTTTCGAGGACATTTGTTGATTACACTTTGGTCAGAACAGAATGTTCGCACCTATTTGCACCTCCAGTTGACCAACTCCAGCAAATACCATGAGATCAGGACTTTGCTCATGAATTATGCTTTGGCTGCGTTTCCTGCAAACGCATCAGGTGGAGGAGGAAACGGACTTGCCCCTATGGACATTGACCAAGTTCACCAGGGCAAAGGAGATAAAGGCAAAGGAAAAGGCAAGGGCAAAGGAAAAGGCAAGGACCTGGCAAAGGTACAAAGGGTGCTCTTGGAGGAGGAAAGGGTCAGCCGGACAAGGGGAAGGGAAAAGGCAAAGGCAAAGGAAAGGGAGACAACCCTACTCCATCCAACAAGAACCAGTGCCTATATTGTGGAGGCTTTGGGCATTGGGCCGCTCAGTGTCACAAGAAGATGGCTGACCAGGGTCGCGTGCGTGAAGCGCAGCAGGAGCAGCTTGTTGACACCTCATCCCAACACGCCTCAACCCTTTCCAGGAGTGCTGCTTCAACTGCAGGAACAAGCCATGTTCGCAGAATGTTCACTGCAACAGGACCAACCTGGGTACTCGCATGTCCGCATGGTTGTTCACGAGCCGCGATGTTTGGGATTTGGTATCTACAGATGCATGTGACAATGCAAATACTGCGGATGCGCGAGCAATTCAGCGCGATTATCAGGAGATGTGTTTTTCTCTCTCGCGCCTTTTTCCGCAGCGTTTCTGTCGCAATTAAGGGGGGGCCCGGGCACCAGGGTTCTGCAAACTGTTTTTTCGGAGGCCAGTTTCCTCACCTGCACGCTGTTTTTACGGAGGGCAGCGTCCTCGCGTGCACACGACGGCTACCGGGCCGGCAGCCGCGACGCCCCAGGGGAAGATGGGCACGCAGCGAGAAGGTCACTCAAGTCCGGGCAAGGCCCATCAAGGTTGCTCAGGCCAGGGGGGGGCAAGGAAGTGAGGCTGTCAGCGAAGGCGAGCGAAGCTGCAGCGCACAACAAGCCAGACCATCGGTGGACTTCGAAGGGCAGGGCGAAGGGCCTCCGGCGCGGCTCGGGCTCTGGCACGCGCAAGGAGGCGGAGAAAAGAGGCGGCCTCTGACCCCCAGCGGCCTCCGACCTCTACACCGATCACAACCAGGCGGCAGCGGGCGCTCGGGATAGGTTGCTTCCTTGCGGCGCCGGGCCTCAAGAAGGGCGACGGGTCGGGCCGGGTCGCGCCGAGAACGAGCCTCCCCAGCGGCGGTGAGCGGAGACACAATGGTCGTGTCAACCGCGAGCTGGGCGCCATTTCACAAAGGGAGGCCGTTGGCGATGACCTCGATGCGACGGTCATCAAAGCGAGAGACCGCCACATTGACACGGACAAGGGTGTTCGTGGTCACTCGAGCCCCGGCCTCGCGGCACACGCGGGCTGCTGCACGCTCGAGCGGGCAGCCTCGACTCCGGAGTGCACCAGACCGGGAGCACGCTGCACGGTGGTCGCCAAGAGGGTCAAGAGGACAGGGGCAGGGGGAGGCGGAGGCGCCGCAGCAGAAGAGCACGCAAGGGTTAGGAGGGGAAGGTGAGCTCAGGGCAGGTCGGAACTGCAACCACCATCGGGCCTTCCATCCGCAAGCTGGTCGCCTCTGTGGCGGCATTTGCTGCAGCTGCCGCTGCGCAGGCAGCACCGAGCAAGAGACGCGAGGTACCAAGACCTGCTGCTGCGACTCCGAACAGAGCGAGCAGAGCCGGAAGACATAGCCTATCTGGTGGGGGAGCGCTTGGTTGACGGGGCAGACCCGCGCAGCCTGCGTGAGCACGTGACAGACCACCCGAACACTGTCTTCTTGGCCTTGGAGCGGCAGCAAGCTCGTGACATGAACCTCAGCATCCTGCAGGCGTTGTTCGGGGCAAGGCGTGGCGGGTCCT